GGAGTTTAGGGCTGTTGTACATAGGGTCGCTATGAGTTGCAAGTGACTTGACGGCACATAACAACAACAACAACATTTATATTTATATTTACATTTACATTTATATTTATATTTATAATCTGTATATAGGGAAGAAGCTATTTAAGACGCCATGGGGAAGGCTTCACAGTGGGCTTATGGTTTGCTGGTGCAGTAGAGCCCTCTTGCTGGTCGCATGAGTGCTTTCTGTATGTGCATGGACTTGGTTTGTACGAATTACCATTAAACATCACAGTACCAGCCAGCCTCAGGCCTCTCTCTGCCTGGAAGGGAGTGGGCTCTAAGCTCCAGTTTTTATAGAATATGTGCAGCTCTTTCTTGTTTTCAATCATATCACATCAACAAATTTAGGTCCTTCATGCTGTCATCACAAAGGCATTTAGTTTAAAGCAACCAGCTGCTCCAAAGAAGCTGGACAATCTCCTCTGTTGCAATTTACAGCTCTAAAAGAACAGCTGAAGGATCAGCTGTAAGTTGGTTCTGATTGGACACATATCAATAACATCAGAATGATTGACCAGGGTCTGATCCCTGAATCTGTCTTAACTGTGCTTATTACCACTTGCAGTCAAATCCTTAGCTAGAATAAAGACACTTCTCACCCTCTCCCCTGACCCCATGGTTAAACTAAAGACACAGAAGGAATGTTTCTAAGGAAAGGTCTTATACAGTCAGCAAAAATCCCCGCAACACTCAGGAAATATTTTAAGATGGCCAACATGTCAAATCATCCTTAGTCTAGTATTAAACCATTTCAAATGCACACCCATGTTTATTGCAGCTTTGTTCACAATAGCAAAGAGTTGGAAACAACCCAAGTGCCCATCAACAAACAAATGGATAGAGAAGCTGTGGTATATTTACACAATGGAATACTACACTGCATTGAAAAACAAGGAACTCATGAAATATTATACAAAATGGATGACTCTGGAGGACATTATGCTGAGTGAAATAATCTCAGTCACAAAAGGACAAATTCTGCATAGTGCCACGGTTGTAAAACGGGACTGACACCGGGGTTGAGGGGACCCTAAGAAAAGAGGGGATAAGTAATGTATACTGCATTGAAACAGATGAGGGAGAGAACTGTTTAAAAGGAATATAGGGCTAAGTATTATTTTCATGACAAGATTACAGAAAAAGAAATGCATATCAATGTGGACTGGGGGTACTGTATAACAATGAAAGAATTTTTTTTTCTTCAAAGAGAAAAATGAACTGGGAAGAGGGGTGGGCAGGGAGGAAAATGTGCAACAATGAATGGATGGGGGGGAATTAAATGGAAAGAATATGCTGTAAAAAACCCCCCAAAAACCCACCACATTTCAAATTTATTAAAAGGGAGCTCTGGGGGCCTAATGGTAAGAAGCTGCACTCACAGCAATCCCAGAGACATGCAGTTCTAATCTACCAACTCCTCTGTGGGAGAAGTATGGTCAATTTCCTCCAGTTCTCCTTATGTAGGGTCCGCTTCAGCTGGAGGGTCACCTGTGGATCAGTTTCAGTTTCAACTAGAAGGCACACACAACAACCATCCAAGTATCCCACGTTTGTATTTCCAACCAATCACTATAATGCCCCCCCTTTGAGTTGTTCCGCCTCCAGCTTCCCTGATCTTGCAGCCTTCCAGACTTAGTACATTTGGTTCTAGATGTTACTTCATAAATGCTCTACAGGGTATAGTCTTTCCAGTCATCTATGAATCTGAGAGGTGGACAATGAATACAGATGACAGAAAATGAATTGACGGCTTTGAGCTGTGGTGTTGGAGAAGAGCACTGACAATCCCATGGACGGCCCTCTCGTGCCCCTATCAAGAATAAACCTGTAATGTCTTCCAATAAGATAGCAACAGCCACAAGCAGCCCCTGACCACTAGATACATGGATAATTCAAATTGAAATGTACTGTTAAGTGGAAAAATATACACTGGATTTCTGATGAAGTACAATAAAAAAGAAAGTATAATAGCACATTAAACTTTTGTTGGCTACAGGTTGAAATAGTGCATTAGATATACTGCGTTAAAGAAAATGTTATCTAAAGTTTTTGCCTCTTTAAACAAATATTTTGTCTACTAGAATGTTTAAGTTATATGGCTGACATCTTTCTGTTGGCCTATTGAACAGCCAAATTAAAATAAGCATATGTTTGGATCGTGGCTTGTTTTTCATGAGTTTTTTTACACCTCTTAAGGATTCCTCATGAGAACCATCATCTAGTATACTACAAGTCAGACCTCCTCCTCTACGGGCTTCGAACTCTGGTCCTTTCACACTGAAATCTGAACTCCAATATTGGAAAGCAATTCTAAATGGAACAGAACTCCGTAAGTGGCAGGGGATTTTGTTCCAAGAAAGTCGCTTTCACAGAAACAGAGAGTCTTGGCAGCTTGGAGAGGGGGAAGTGGGCAGCGAAGAAGCCAGGTGGCCTGTGAACCACGTGGAGCAGCCGCCTCTGCCTACAAGCCCGCCCGAGACACCCATGGTTACACTCTAGCGAGCACCGCCAGTGACCTCCCCAAGATGGCTGCAGTCACGAGGCGGGGCCGCTCCACGCCACGCCACGCCCCCCCCCCACGTTTCCATTGGGTGAGACAACTCAACGGTGAATGGTGATTGGGCTACATGTAGGGACGAAAGCTGGGCGGAACCGGAAAGTGGTCTCAGGCTGCGTGGTGTGGGTCTGCGTTCTGGGTTCCTAGGGATGTGGAAAACTTGCAGCATGTCGGCAGAGCTTGGCATCGGGTTCGCACTGCGGACAGTAAATGAGCGCGTGCAGCAGGCGGTGGCGCGACGGCCGCGAGTGAGGAAGGGGTCCGCGCGGGGACGGTGGGCGGCCACTGTGAGGCGCAGGGAACACTTGCGTGGGAATGGGTCGTCACGATGACGCAGATGGGTCTCCCGGAGGGGCGGGGGCCCCGGCGCCTAGGCGTGGGTGGGGGTTTAGCATCCCCCAGGGGCTGTCTGAGGGTTTCCTCGGCTATCTCGCAATGAATCTGTCAGTCGCTACAAAGATTACCCTATAAGGGGCAGAAGGGACCTGCAGCCCTACAGCAACGACTCCCTGCATTTGCTCATCCGGCTTGGTGTGAACCTGCAGCCTTGGCGAATGGGCGCAGGGTCTGACTTGTGGGCGTCTGCCAGAGAAATCTGTTACAAGACCACCAAAAAGAGGCCAGAGCTCACTTGCGTGCTAGCGTCTGGCAACTAGTAGATTATCAGTAAATGTTCATTCCACTCCTAAATTAAGGAGAAGGTGGATTGGAGGTACGGCATTTGCACTGGAGGAACAGGAAGTAGATGCGTGACATCCAAAATCCAAACCCAATTTAAGGGGAATTTTTTTTTTTCTTTCTCCACTTGGAAATAACCTCCTTGGTGCAAGTTTAAATTGGATAGTTCAGAGTGAGACACAAGTGAACTGAGACTTCTCTGATCAAGCATTTATGGTGTCAGAATTTAGAATGCTGACCTGCAGGAGGGAGGCAGAAGACGTGTATCATAGTCCTTCCTTGGCCAGTTGGTTGTTGCCTTTAACAAATCAGTTAATGATTCTCAGTGATTATCCAAGAAAAAGACAGGGACTCCCTAGTTCGTCCCAGATAGATTTCCTTTCCCATTTTTTTTTCCTCTAGAAACTATCGTTTATCAACATAATGCTAGAAGTTATGACAAAGTCTCGTAGAAGAGGCTTGTAACCTAAGCCTTGGAATCTGAATCCCTTCGTGTTGCAAGGGAATAATTTGCTCGCTTCGTTTTACATGTTTTGGGCATGTTGTTAGGAGAGGCTATTCCTTGGAAAGGGTCAAGGTGGAGGGTCGGCGAAAGAGGAAGATCCTCTGAGATGGATTGTTGTGGTGACTGCTGCAATGAGTGTTGATTTTGTTTTGCTTTTTTTTTGTTTGTTTGTTTTAGATTTTACTAGTTTTAATGAACATTTACAGAGATTTTGGGTTCTCATTCATTCATTGTTGCACTGTTTTCTCTACGCTCCTCCCTAGTTCGTTCATCTTCCCCCCCATGTCTGTTTTGATTGTCCAATTGCCATAGTGCTTGTCAAAGCCAATTCTGATAAATCTCCTTTGTCAGTGTGTCCTTTGCCATTCCCTATCACTCTTCCCTGAGAGAGACTTCACCCTGATTCATAAGGAAAAGGGGATGGCATATTCTCTTAACTTCAGGGTGAAGATCTTCTCTCACTACTCTAAAGGGCCCCTTTGGCAGTAGGAAACACGTAGACTGCTGTGGAGATTGAGTTTGGAATTTAGATGCACTGTTATTAATTGTGCTTAGCCGTATATGTTCATATCCTTGAAGATGTATCATGGAGGTGTTGCAACCTAGAAGACACAAATTTAACAAGTTAAAAGTACATGAGTCAAAAATTAACAAGCATTAATATTCCGAGTAGAGGTTCTAGTAGTGGCACAAATCAAGTTACAGAGG